CTCTTTCTTCATTGACTCCAATTAGTCTTATGTTATTCTTCTTTGCATCATCTAGCAGCTGCTGGATTGATTTCTCATGGTTCCTTACTATTTTAAAGAAATTTTTCTTTTCCTGGTCACTAATAGCAATCTTATCTTCTATATCTGAAATTCTGTCCTCACATTGGCTCATTCTGCTGAATAAACTTTTGTTGGAGTTTTTAATCTCCTGGAGATCTGTTTACATCTGTTTTATGGATTCCATTTGTTTCCTATGTTGGGATTCCATCATGTTCCTCAGTTCCTCTATTTTTTTAATCTGTGTCCTCTCTAGATTTATTAATCATGTCTTGCACTATGGCCACAATCTCTGCTGTTATCTGAGAAATTATTTCTGATTTCATTTTTTCCAGATCTTCTTTTGTTGCCAGTTCAGGGAGTCCAGGTGATTGGGTATCACAGTGTGCCATCTCCTTTCCCTTTGGGGTTGTTTTAGGTGATCTGGAAGTCTGGTTTTGAAACTTGTTTACATGTCTTCTCATTTCAATGGGGGTTGCTGCTGGTGACCATGTGACTCACCTCCTCTGTACTGGTGGGGGTGGTATCATGGCCCAGATGCCTCCTCCTCTGCCCTGGGAGAGGCTCACCTCCTCTGTGCTCGAGAATTCATTCTTTGATTTTGGCTACTACAAATTCAGCATGTCAGACATCTAGAAATGGGAGTTACAATATTTCCCCTATGTCATTTGGAGGTTCTATATCATTTCCTATCATGATCATGCTACTTTAGTAATATTTTTAGTTGGCTTATTACCACATTATAAGCTAGATATTGTACTATATTCTTTAGATGAACTGTCTCATTTAATCCCCACAACAAACTAAAAAATAAATAACCTTGCTATCTTAATTTATAGATGACAAACCTAAAGTTGATTTTATTTTTTCAAATTTATAGCTAGTCTGTGGCAGAACTTTTCTGAGTTCTAAGACATTTGCTTTTAACAAGGAAGGATACTAACTCCAGTTGGCTTTAAGTAATGGAAGAGTGCTGTTCTTTTCAACAATTCTATCTTACTGCTGGGCTCCAAAATTTGCTTAAAAATTAGTTTAACAAAATGTCAGCAATAAAATGTTTACCTCGTTATCCAGACATAATCATCTTTGCATAATGAAGAGGTGGTAGGCCAAAATGCATAATTTACAAAGAAATAAGCTAACAGACATTTGTATATTTTTGGTACCCCTTAGCTTGATCAAGACTAAAAAGTACTCAGGGAGTAGAAAAGAATTTTCAAAAGGGGATTATGGAAAAAAATAGATTATAAAACTCTCCTAGTATAGGGAATGCAGCGGCTTCCTGGCCCTTTAATTTAAGCCTAGCAAAAACAGACCTTGACCTGAGTTACTCCAAGAGCCTCATACAGCTTCTTTATAGTTGGGGAACTGAAGGCAGGACCTCATGTGATAAATAACTGGTTTTGGGGGGGGGGGCATTGCTTAAATTCTTTTATTGGTACATTTTAGGTATACAATACATTTACATTTATCATTGGGTGCTTGTACCTGTACATGATGTATCTTGGTTCT